GTCTCATACTCATCTACTTTCCATATCCAATACAATACTTTCCCATTTCCTTCTTCTATTCACGTTTTATTTTTTGTGTTTTTTGTTGATAAATACTATTTTGCACTGTTTTTTTTTCAGCTTTGTCTATATAGAGTGTCCGGAATAACCTGACATTGGAATTTTGGAAACCACTGAAGATACAGTCGTGAGCACAAAAAGTGGGACACCCGTTTTTTCCTATTCTAAAATGGGCTCATCAGCTATACCTACGGCAATGACAGGGATTGTCATATTTGACAAAAAATCGATTGTAGATAAAAGACTGATTTACGCAAAATAGCGAAAAATGACAAGACCTGTTAGTCGGGTGTCCCACTTTTTGTGCTTATGACTGTACATGGTGAATCAAAAAGTTACGCAATTAAGTGCCTACAAATAATCCGTCATCAACTTCTTTGAACTCGGAATAGCAATAGCACAAAATAGAAAAAAGGTGCTTTTATAAAATCCTTGTAATTGTACACTATACATATGTTGGGTCCAGTCGGGAGCATAAAAAGTGGGACACCCGACTGACAGGTCTTGTCAATTTTCGCTATTTTGGGTAAATCAGTCTTTTCTCTATAAATGGATTTTTTGTCAAATATGGCAATCCCTGTCATTGCCCTAGGTATAGTTGATGAGCTCGTTTTATAATAGGAAAAAACGGGTGTCCCACTTTTTATGCTCACGACTGTACAGGGTGGTCATTTAATCTTGATAACATTTTAAACTGTCATAATTTCTTTATTTTTGAAGTTATTTGAATAAATAAAAAAACATACTGTAGAGTTGGTTTCCAAGTTTCAGATAGGGTCGACAAAAAATAAAAGACTGATATATTTTGACAATTATGCACACAAATAACATTTTTTTGAATGGAACACCCAGTAAATTTTTAAATTCTTTGATAATATGTTTCATTCTGATTGCAATACATACAATACAATACACTTTAATACAATTTACTCCATATTTACATGCAGAAGTTTTTTTATTGATTCTAATGGAAAATTCTATCTACCTACCTACCTTTGCAGGTTATCTGTGTAGGTAATCAATATTTGCAGTTAGAATAAATGAAACATTTCTGCATGTATATATAAAGTGAATTCTATTCAACTGTATTGTATTGTATATAATGCAATTAGAATGAAATATATTATCAAACAAACTTGAAATTTACTGGGTGTTTCATTTAAAAAAAAATGCTTTTTGTGTCCAAAACTGTCAAAATATATTAGTCTTTTGTTTTTTGTCCATCCTATCCAAAACTTGGAAAACAACCATACAGTATGTTTTTTTTATTTATTTAAATAACTTTAAAAATAAAGAAATTATGACAGTTTAAAATGTTATCAAGATAAAATGACCACCCTGTAAATTAACATCCAGTCCTACCTACCCTGAAAATTACTTGATTGTGTCTTTTATAATTAAACAAGCGTTTATAGAACGCACTTTTTTCTTTTTCGCCCTGTATTTTTGTTGCTATTTTGAGTTGACAGATTATTCGTAGGCACTTGATTCCCCATTTGGTCCACCCTGTATCTTCAATGGTTTCCAAAATCTCCACTCCATGTACCTTCAAGTTATTCCGGACACCCTGTATACTCCGACGATTTTTATAAGTCTCAAGACCGTTCTAAACCAAATAATACTTTAAGGTTATGTTAGATTATACTTGACATATTCCTTTGCAATTTCATTGAGCGATGTTGCTGGATGAAACATTTATCAAAATAAAAGTGCAAACGATGATTATCCGCTTTAAAGCTGTTCTTTTGTCTGATTTAAGGCGTTGTGAAACACTTGAGACTATAAAACTTCTTTATTGTTATAATGTTCGATTTGTATAGCCTACATTTGTTCTGCAACAATACAATCTGGCTACACTGCAGCCTACGAGTTGCGCGCGCATGTCATCTTTCATTGTTTTCTAACTTGTATTTATTACAATGAAGCTTCCTTTTTCCAGTCATGGGAGATAGGTCTATTACTAACCCTACAATTCTATCCATGGTGTCTGACTGGGAAAATAGGTACCGAAAATCGTCACTGCATGCCTCCTAGACTATATATCTCTGTGTAACTTTTCCCTATACGTCTTCTTATACCTACCTATTTCCAAAATTTCATCAAATTTCATCGAGCCGTTTTCTCAAAAAAATGCCAACACACATACATACACACACACAGACGGAAATGTGCCACCTTGCCAAAAAGGCTTAAAATGATCCAAAACGTCAAGATTTAATGGAATTTTGACATGGTCAAAATCGGGCTATCGCCATAGCTTCCAATCTAGGAAGGTAAAAAAAGGTATAATTTGGTAGAGAAGGTATGGCTATTGAATGTCATCGATGAATCTTAAATTTGAAGTCCAGCTATAAAAAATTGAATTATTCAGCTTAAAATAAAAGCTTGAGTAGAAGAAGGTAGTGGTGCCTACGAGTCGATTCTCGTTTTCGAGAGTCTTGCATAGTCTCGTCTCGTTTTCGAGACAAGACGTGCAGGCAAATTACACAGAATATATATATACAGCCAAATTCTAGGGAAACCATTATCCTCCATAATCCGCCTACTCCCAATGAGCTATATACTAAACGCAACTGCAACGGCAACGAAGGACAAAATTGTGTGACCTTTTTAGTTTTGTATACCCATCCTTTGTCTGACTCACGCAGTATGCATGACACAGACATGGATAGTCTGTCTTTCTTTGACAGAAAGGTTACAACTTCACCAATGTTGTGTAAATGAGCGTTGCCGTTCCATTTGCGATTAGTATGGTTTATTGCCTACCCCTTCCCTTAGAACGCTGTTGGGAATTACGACCCATCGTACAACTTTTCGAAAACAAGTGAAAATAACCTCAATCCCTTATCATTTCGGAGCAAGAAACACTGAAATATAGATAGGTGCATTAGGGGACAAAGGATTACATTATGGCAAGTAGGTATAGTACTTTTACTACCCATTTGGAATAACCCCCATCCTTGTTTATCAATCATGAATCAGATGGAACAAAAAAATACCAACAAATCACTAAAACGACTGGTACTTCCAAATAGGTAAGAAAAATACTATAAGTATCCCGTACTATAGTATCTTTTTCAATAAGCTGGTATAATCAATCATACTCCACCAATTTTAATCCCCTGAATCTGAATCTGAGTGAATGATTATACCAGCTTTCAAAAAAATGGACTATAGACTCTAAACTGGGACAAGATTATGCATAACGAGATTTCGATACATTTGCGGAACTCTCGTACGGTACGCGAGACGTGACGAGACTTGAGGGTTCGAGACAATACTTCTTTTTTCATCGACGAGACGAGAAAAAACTCGTCTCGTTGGTCTCGTGTGAATCACCGGAAGGTCTCATATCTACTTAAGCGAAGATGATGGCAAATTAAAAATTGATATAAAGGCCGAGTTCGTTTTTGTCATTTTTTTCGTCAATTTGCTCCGAAATTTTGACAGGCACGTGACTGGATAAGACAGTTTTAATTTACAAATCACGTGCCTGTCAAAATTTCGGAGCAAATCGACGAAAAAGAGGACAAAAACGAACTCGGCCAAAATCAAAAATAATGCCTCAAATAGGCAGGTAGGTACCTCAGAGGTACCTTTTAGAACTCAAATTAAAATGTTAATATTTTCAAATAAAAACCACCATTTGCACTAATATCTATTGCAGCTGTATTCAAACACCAAAATGAATCAAAATTCATAGTCACTGTGGTCTGCGGTAAAAATAAAAACGCAGTAGGTACCTCTATTAGGCAATCCAGACAGAAACCGAAATAGTGGTTTTGTAAAGGTTATTTTGTGCAACTTTTTCGTTTATTTTCACCAAAAAAAAAAAAATTCAACCCGGCGCGACACGCCCAATGAACTCGAACACACGAACTGGGTCACTATGTTTTGGTTGTTACTAAGTAAGAGATTTATTTCTAAATAGCGATAAAACTGAATCATATAAATTATATTGTGTATCAAGTATATAATCAACGTTGAAGCTTGAATCTTCCTCTTCCCAACTATACTTCCAATTTTTCTGACATACTTTCAAATATGTTAAATTCCTGATACAAAGTAGTTTCCTTCCTAAATCCAATCCAACCAAAATTAAGTTATACCTATATCACAAGTATAGAGGGTTATTCAAAGGCCTAGGCCGCCATACCATTATCCTATCAAGCGATTATAAATGAGTTTTTAATTATCCTCCAAGCCAACAAACTAATTAAAATCCTAATTCATTTATCTAGCTTAGAAAATCAGTAGCTAGAGCTGTAATTACGCGTTTATATGTATACCGGAAGCTTATGTAGAGGCTATTTGTCTTCGTATGTGTAATATGTTGCATTGAATTTATTATTCTCTGCTATGGTATACCTATAGATATCTCAATTATTGTGATTTGATTTCGCCAGAATAATAATTATAGATATATTTTTTTTGAGAAATTAACATTTTGGAATAAATGAGTCACATGTCAGACTGAAAATATTCTAGTATCAATAATTATCTTTTCATCAATATTGAACTTTAACTTATCTTCCGGAGTTTATCTTTGATGATGTCGGATAAAAGTCGTATTTTTTTGCTTGGGCCTCTAGCAGACCCTCTAAATGTTTACAACATCCCCTGCTCAATAAACCTCTTTTCAAAAAAAATCTCAGCTTGCTTTTGAGATAATTTTACATCAATACCGGCTCCAATATTCATAAAAATATAAACTCATAAATAATAATATAAATTTTCCCAGAAAGATTTTTTTTTTGTGGATTTTATGATTTTTAAAGGGTGCATCATCAGAAAAAAATCAAAATATTGGATTCCGAAATAAAATCCACTCCATTGAAAAATAGTCATTACTCAATGGGTACTTAATAATTTTTGAACGCAATGTCTAGGGTAAAGCTCTAAACTTCTATTTCTCTATTACATTTTTTCATTTTCCATAGGTCAAGGACGTGTCAATCAATTAGGAGGAGTTTTCATTAACGGAAGACCTCTACCCAACCACATAAGACTGAAAATCGTGGAAATGGCAGCCGCTGGAGTGAGACCTTGTGTTATTTCCAGGCAGTTGAGAGTTTCTCATGGTTGTGTCAGCAAAATTTTGAATAGATATCAGGTAAGTTTTGAATAGTTTAGCTCTAATATAATTACTACATACATATTTGGAGACAATTCTTATTTCATATTTTGCTTTGCTTGATTCTTCTTCTTCTTTGAACTTTCGAAAAGGCTTATTATTGAAGTTCTAAAGTGTTCTGTAGGGTTCTAAATGGTTTAAGTAACTTCTAAAATTAAATGAAAAACGAATTATGTGGGAAATCTTTAGGGCGTCTTAAAGACATCTTAAAGACGACGTATGTTACAAAACCCAACGCCTTTCAGAAGTCTGCCTATAAAGACGCCTTAAGAACTAAGACATTCTTCGTCTCCAACGAAATTTTTAAAAGAAGTCTTTAAATCTCTTTTCAATACATGAACCATTATTCACTTCTAGGCCTGGCTGAACGAAATAGTGTGGCTCAGTTCAGTTATCCTTGAGATGTGAATTTAGGACATCTGATTATGGAAGTTTTTAGACGTTTTTTTTTTTGGTCTTCAGACGGTCAGATGTAATGTAGAATGCAGACTTAAAACAGACGTCTTTAAGACTTTGTGTGCTGTCTGTGTCTGAGTAGTTTCCTGCCCAAATGTTTTTCTGGTCATATGCGTTTTAGCTTCCTCTCAACAAAAATATTTAGATCATTAAATTTATTGAATTTTTTTTCTATTAAATGTAGTTTTTAATTCTTCCCCAAAAAAAAAATAATACTTATTTGAGTTTTTTTCAGATGTTTTGAAAAATTCCATGTTGCCAAATGAAATAAATGTCAATAACTTTTTCGTTTGCAGCTGATGGTCTTTAAATTTCTCCCATTATAGGTAACTTTTGATTCTCCACAAAAAAGTCCTCTTGAGTTTTTTTGATATAATGCATACTTTACGAAATATTCAATAAATTCAAAAAAAATCAAGATGGCGGCTATTTTTTTCCAAGTTCCACTAATGCGACAAAGTGCGATTTTTGAGGGATTAAAAGGACCCTATTGACTACTCATTTCCGCAGAGATCACTTTGTTACTAATTTTTTCTACCCCAACCCCCTATTTTGACTAGCCTAACTGCTCAGGACTTGCAATAGGATCTTGTCGATGGATAAGTTGCCATTTTTGTTGCCCCAAACGTTTTCAATTGGGTTTATTTCCGGTGAGTTCGGCGCAGTGTTGCCAGAGGTGGTACAATTGTACCAGGTTTGGTATCATTCGTTTTGAAAAAGTACGCTGGTACTTCGTTGGTATATTTGGTACAATTTTCAATTTTTTTATTTTTTCCAAATTCTCAAAGAGTTAGCCTACTGCCTACTTAGTCTGATTAACTTGTATTTCTGTATCCAAATTCGATATGACAATAATATTTGATTCGTAAATAGATGACGTCACCAATGTTACACGTAACACTCGTTTTGTGGTTTTTGGTTAACGTAGTTTGTGTTTAGTTTAGGTTTTCGGCAGAAAAATAAAGAAAACTTAAAGCCTCGTATTTTAAATAGGTTTTCCTGATCGGAAAAGCGGAAAATCCAAAGAAAAACCATTGAAAAATTACATTCCAAAGCCTTGATGAAACTTAAGTTTTTGTTACATTACACCGTTGAAAAACTCGAAATTTTTGATACAAAATTAAGGAAACTCAAAGTCTCGTAGTCTCGTACTTTAAATCTATTTTCCCGACCGAAAACAGTCCGGAAAAGTGGAAAATTCGAGGAAAACTGGATAAAAATGTAAATACGTCAAATGAAAATGGCCGACTGTCAAAAATGACAAATGATATTTATTACAAGGCATCCTTGATTGAAGTTAGCCACAAGCGGTGTTGCCACATCAAAAGCATTTTAAATGGGATTTTGCTAAATATGGCATTTAAAAGTGGAAATTTTTGCTAGAAAATGAAGAAAACTCAAAGCCTCGTATGTTAAATCGTTTTTTTCCATTAAGAATCCCCGGAAAAGTCGAAAATTCGAGGAAAAACTGGCAAAAAATCACAAGACGCCACTTTAAAATGGCCGAATAGAAGCAGCATTGCCACACATTACATCTCGGAAAACAAAAATAACATTTTAAATGGGTTTTTTGTTTAAAATTCAATTTAATAATTGATTAATAATAATTAAAATTCCCTAGATAAAGCATCGGAAATTTGTTTCTAGTTTAATTTCAATGAAAATGACATTACAAGGTTTACTTGTTGATTATAGTGAGTAAGACAAAGACAACGATAAAGTAGTATATGTTTGCAAAAACCACCGTTTTCTGAAAAAAGTAAAAATCTTAAGAAAACCCAATAGAAAACCAACATTCCAAAGTCAACTTAATAAAACTAAAGTTTTTGAATATTTCCGGCTTTTTGATTGGAGGCTAAAAATCGCATTTTGAATATTCCCAGTTTTTGATTGGCTCCAAATTATCCGCTGACCAATAGAATTATAAACTAGGCCCCGTGATTAAAATAACTCCGGCCCTTCGGGCCGGGTTCTCGTATAACTCCGGCCCTTCGGGCTCGCCTATAACTTCGGCCCTTCGGGCCGGGCTCACATATAATTACCAGTTTTCCCGATCGAAACCGGCCTGGAAAAGTGGAAAATTCGAAGAGAAACTGGATAAAAACACTCAAAAATGGCCGACTACTAACTAAACGTAGAGCTAATGCAAAACCTTGGTTCAACAGCCAGTGTCAAATGGCTGTACAGAAAAAACACAGAGCATATAACCTTTGGAAACGACAACAAACCGCTCAAAACCACACAGAATTTATAGAAGCCAGAAATAGTTGCAAAATTACTATTGACTCCGCTAAAGAAACATACAATCAAAGAATAAAAAACAGGTTGCTGAATTGTCCAAGTAGTTCTAGGTCTTTTTGGTCTCTTGCAAAAGCTGTTGGATCTAACTTCACCAAGTCATCCATACCACCACTTACAGATAAAAATAATCACTTAGCCACAACATCAGAGGAAAAAGCCAATATGCTTGCCCAAATGTTTTCCTCCAACTCCAACCTAACAGTGCCAAACGGAAAAACTCCACCGTTCATTGAAAGGGTTTCCCATAGTATGCCAGAGGTACCCTTTTGTCACAGAGAAATACGAAAATCCCTAAAAAAGCTGGATACAAACAAAGCAATGGGTCCGGATGGCATTCCCGCAATAGTACTCAAAAATTGCGCCAACGAACTCACCCCAACTTTCGCAAAATTATTCAATTTGTCTTACAGGCAAGGAGTATATCCATCATCATGGAAGTCTGCCGCAGTACAACCCATTCCAAAGAAAGGAAAAAAGACAGATCCGTTAAACTATAGACCAATTGCTCTACTTCCGGTGATATCAAAAGTAATGGAAAGAGTTGTGAACAATCACCTAACCAAGTACTTGGAAAAGTACAAAATTATCAACGATAAGCAATACGGATTTCGAAAATATAGGTCAACTGGAGATTTACTTACATTCGTCACTCACTTATGGCAAAAAGCGATTGAGTTGCTGGGTGAAACAAGAACAATTGCCTTAGATATATCTAAAGCATTCGACAAAGTTTGGCATGAAAATCTGCTCAACAAGCTCAAAGCAATGGGATTATCGCCGAAACTTTGCACTTGGTTTGAAAGTTACCTAAAGGACAGATCCATTTATGTTGCACTGGATGGCCAGAACTCCAACTCTTACCAAATAAATGCTGGTGTGCCACAGGGAGCAATCCTTTCGCCAACTCTTTTCCTGATTTACATAAATGACCTCATAGATAAAACAGTAAATCCACTTTATTGCTTTGCAGACGATGGCAATGTAGTCTCCTCACTCATACCACCCACAGGTCTTTCCGCACGTGAATTCCATCATCTTAGACTAACTCAAATATCGCAGATAAATAACGACCTGGAGATAATAGAGGACTGGGGTAACAAAAACCTTGTACAGTTCAACGCGCAGAAAACCCAAGCAGCTCTGTTTTCAAAAAAGACCAGCACCGGTGAGCCAAACATCATGCTATCTGGAAGTGCTGTCACATTACAGAGTCAGTTGAACATCTTGGGAGTTACTGCAGAGACCAACATGTCCTGGCACAGTCACGTGGCAGATATTGCTAAAAGGGCCTCCCAAAAGCTGGGGGTGCTATTTCGTACAAGACATCTGTACACACCAAGCCAATTGCTGACACTCTACAAAGCCCAGATTCGACCAACTATGGAGTACTGCTCACATATATGGAGTGCAGCACCCAAACATACCTTATTGCTTTTGAATACCGTGCAAAAACGAGCTATCAAGCTGATCAATGACCCCGCACTTACTCGTAACTTGGATGGTCTCGAACATCGCAGATCTGTGGGCGATTTATCTCTCTTCTACAGGTACTATCACGGAAAATGCTCTGAAGAGTTGGCACGTATGATTCCACCGAGAATAGCGCCTACCAGGCGAACCCGTCAAACAGACGGTAACCATGAATTTACTGTCAAACTAGAGGCACCAAGAACCTCATTATATCAGAATTCATATCTCTGGAGAACAACATCGCTGTGGAATAAACTCCCTGCGACGGTTTTCCCTTCAGGTTACGACCTGAACCGTTTCAAGACCAACATACACCGACATTTCCGCGCACTTGCCGCTTCTCGAGCGTGATAGGACATTTCCTTGCGAGTGCGCATATCCGTAAAAAAAAAAAAAAAAAAAAAGACTGTTTAAAATGCCAAATGACATTACATTACAAGATCTACTTGTTCAAAAGCGATGTTGCCATAATTACAATTTCAAACATGTTTTTCCAGATTTTAGTGAGTAAAACAAAGAAGATAAGGTAAGATACATTAGTAAAAAACCAAAAGCGATTATAAATGAGTAAGACAAAGAGCGAGAAAAAGTAGGAAACAATTTAAATGATGAGTTGGTCGAGCGAAACTGAAACTATCATCAGAGTAAATTTTCGATTGTTCCCGGTTCAAACACTTGGAATAATTACTCAATTTTTTTTTGACAACTGACAAGCCTACATACAATATTATGACTTTTGACAATTAACGAGT